AGAGACACAGTGGTATGTGTGTGTGAGTGAAAGAGAGAGAGAGACAGTGTGGTGTGTATGTGAGCCACACAGGGTGGGGTGTGTGTGTGAGAGAGAGAGAGACACATACACAGTGTGGTGTGTGAGAGAGAGACATGTTGCCCCTTTAAATAGATCTGCAGTCACCAGCCTGCTTGTTCAGACATAGCAACAGCTGCCAGGAAGCTCCGTCCCATGTCCCACTCCTGAGCTCTGTTGTGTCCCCACCCCCTGCTCTGTGGAAATGGGGTACAGGGGGAGGGGGACACCCTGACATAAGTGTCCCCACTTCCCCTTCTCCGCTCTACACAGCAAGCAGGAGGCTCCCAAGAGCAGTTGGCCAGGGGGTCCAACCCAAGGCAGAGGGCAGGAGCAGCACGGCAGTGGGGTGAGGGGCACCTGAAGTGTGTGACACTTGATGGACTGCTGGGCGGCTGCGCGGCTTAGAGGGAACTTACCCCGCAGGGGCAGGGCTGTGGGGATCTGGGGGTGGAAGGCAGTATGTGACCTTGTCCCCTGCTGCTCCTCTTTCTGGTGCCAGGGTTAACGTGGGCTGCGGGCCAGCTGAACAGCGCCTCCTGCTCACTGGGCTCCACTCTGTGGCCGACATTTTCTGTGAGAGCTGCAAGACCACCCTGGGGTGGAAATATGTGAGTACTGCTCCAGCCCTGCAGGAATCCCCCCATATCATAGCACCCCCAGCTGGGAAAGTACAGACTATGCCCCCTCCCTGGTGTCACAATGCCCCCTGCTGCGCAGGGCAGGGCTGAGCAGTGCGGGGTCCTCCCTGTCCCTGGAGTCACAGTGTCCCCGGCTGAGGAGGGCAGTACAGGCTTCCCCCTCCCTGGGGTAATAGCACCTCCTGTTGAGGGGTCTTGGCAGTGCAGGCTCCTCCCCCTCCCTGGGATCACAGTGCCCTCTGCTGGGGAGAAGAGCATGCCCTAGAGGACGGGCCAGGCTCAGACACTCCGCTTTCTCGCCCCTCCCCCAGGAACAGGCCTTCGAGACCAGCCAGAAGTACAAGGAGGGGAAGTTCATCATTGAGATGTCACACATGGTGAAGGACAACGGCTGGGACTGAGGAGGGGGGGGCTTGCAGCCACACCCCCAGCAGCATGGCCTCCCCCTCCCTGATCACGTTGCTACATTGCCCATCCCAGCACGAGAACGCCCCTGCACAAAGGTCACCTTTCGGGAGCAGGGGATCCAGGGCCCTCGCACCACCCCCAGCCTGAGTGTGCACTGAGCATGGGGACGCCTGTTCCCCCTTGGAGCCAGCACCAGGCATGGACTGTGAGGCCAGCCCCAGGGTGGTCATCCTGCTGGGCACCGACCCACTGCTAGCACTGTGGGGCACAGACACCTGGGAGCATGACTCCTGCGGCTAGTGTCTTCCCCAATCAGGGGGAGTGGGAGTTTAGTTAGAGCCTGCCCTGTGAGATGGGGAGCAAGGAGACAGTTCCTTGGGAATGGTGCTGAGGGGAACTGGTGGGGTGAGGGAGCTGAGTGTCCACCCACCCCCGCCCCTGGTGTGGGGTTGTGAGGGGAGAGGCCAAGAGGATCAAAGCTGGCCCCCTGGTGTGGGATGGGGGCCATTAGCATCAGAGAGCTTCACTCGCACTCTTGGTGATGAGGATCAAAGCCAGACCCCCTTGGCAGGGGGCTCTGGGGCGGAGGGGGGAAGGTCAGAGTTGCCACTCCACAGTGGGCACAGGAACAGATTCAAAACTGGCCCCCTCCCCACATGGGGCTCTGGGTGGGAGGTCAATGGGATCAGGGAAGCCACCCCAGCCTGGGGCTCAGGGTGGAGTTGGGGGAGAGAAGGTAGGAGCTGGTCCCCTGACCTGTGGCGAGAGGGTCACCGCTGTCACCACTGGACTGGGGCTCAGTGTGGGGTGGGGGAAGACAGGGTCAGAGCCAGGCCCCCTGGCCCCAGAGTGTGTGGTGGGAGAAGGCTCAGAGTCCAGCTCCTGGCCTGGGGCTTGGAGTGGGGAGTTGGGGTCAGAACTGGACCCCTGGCCTAGAACTATGAGTGGGAGGTGAGAAGGTTGGAGCAGCCTGAGGCTTGGAGCGAGGGTGGTAGCTGGCCGCTCCTGGCCCTAGGCTTGGAGTGAGGGGATGAGATGGTCCAAGCCAGCCTCTGCAGTCTAGGACTTGGATTCGGGGGGGCGGGTGGGAGGGGCGAGAGGGTGGGAGTTGGGCCTCTGGCCTGGGAAGGTTGGAGCTGCTCCTCCCCAGCCCCCAGGCCTGGGGTGAGAGGGTCCAGAGCTGGGCCTGGGACTCTGCTGTTCATTTCCCTGCTCCCACGTCCCTCCCTTGGGCCTTCTTCCGCACTCCTCCATATCTGCTCTGGGCCATTTGGTTCTGTAGGTCGCCATGCCTTGGTGATCCCTGGGCACTGCCCATCCCTGCCCCCTCATTGCTGCCATGGGGCCTGGCCCCGGGCGCCCCAACACTGTGGCACCAGCATCAGCGCACGCGGGTTTTGTATTATAAATAAAGGTGTTTTTATAGAAGATAGAGTCTGTTATTGGGGGAGGGAGCTGGTCAAGGCCTGTCCATTCCGTCTGTCCTTCTGGGCTCTGCCACCCTGCCATCCAGCAGGGGCACCCGTTAGTGGATGAGGCTCATGCCTGGCCCTGTCAGCCCGGGGCCTTTTGGGGGAGGGGCTGGCACAGGTGGAGGGTGCTGTGGTGTCTGAGCAGCATGGACCCCCCACTCACCTCCAAGGGCACTGGGTCTGAGAGAATCACAATGGGAGATGGATCAGAGATGTCCCACTGACATCAGAGACCCCCAACCAACCTCATCACAGCACCCCCTTCTGGCATCAGAGCCCTCACCCCTACCCAAGCACAGTAGCCCCCCGCCGGTGTCAGAGCAGACCTTACTGGCATCAATAGCATCCTGACCTCCCATCTCCCACCCCCACCCCACTGGCATGAGAAGCACCCCCAACCTGAGCACAGCACCCCCTTATGGCATCAGAAAACCCTCCACCCCGAGCATAATAGCACCCCACTGGTGTCAGAGTAGCCCCCACCAGCATCAGAGCCCCCCCCCCCCAAGCGCAGCACACCCTGCTGGCATCAGAGCCCCCTCCATCACACACTAGGGTCTAGGCAGTGCAACCTATTGGGCAGAGCAGGAGTCTGGCCTAGTGGGCAGAGCAGAATCAGAAGGCAGAAGTGATCAGGAGACAAGCCAGTGGGCAGAGCAAATCAAAGATGGCACAGCACGGCAGGGAATAAAATGAGGCAGCTTGGTCAGGAGGTCCACAATGGTCAGTATAACTGAGTGCCCTTGGAAGCACGGTAACTCCCCAATAAAGTCTATTGAGAGGGTAGAGCAAGGACACAGAGGTGTGGGGAAGGGCTGAGGGAAGCCCATGGGCTTGACTTGGCTCATAGATCTCCCTATGGGCACACAAGTTGCATGACTTAGCGTTGTTTTTAACATCCATTCATAAGATCAGCCATCAGAAGTACCTAGGGTCCAGATTTTAAATGGGCTAAAATGTCCAGCCATGGGCGAGTCATGGCATAACTCTAGCACCTGAAGCCAGGAGCTGCCCTCGGGCATGTAGAGACGAGCTCCACAATAAATCAGGTTGTGTTGTAGATGAAACTTTGAATCTGGGGATTCCAGCAGATTGAGGCCGCAAACAGGTCACTTGTAAGCAAGGGGTGGCAAGTGGTCATGAAGTGACTGTGAGGCTCCCGCAAACAAAAGTGGGAGGGTTTAATGACAGTGGTGAAAGCTTCCTGCTCCACTTCATGCTACTCATCCTTGTGTGACAAGGCATTGCCATCCCGTTCTTAGTCCCTGGACAGTACGTAACCATGAAGTCAAATTGGGAGAGAAAAAGAGCCCAGCAAATCTGACATTGGTTGAGTTGTTGCATTTCTCCAATTCCTTTTGATCGGCTCAGACTTGGACAGAGCCTTAGGCCTCCTTGAGGAGGTGCCTCCATTCCTCAAAGGCAGCTCAGACAACCAGCAGTTCTTTGTCCCACATCATAGTTTCTCTCAGTGAGATAAGTTTCAGAGAGAAAAAGGCGCAGGGATTTGCATTTCTCAGGTTTTGCATAAAGTTGACTTTGGCAAAGCCACTCAAAAACAATGTGCGCTGGGTGGTCATGGAATTGTTGAGTCTCTGAAAAAATGAGTCTTTCATATAAGTAGATGATCATGAATTGGTTGAGGATGTCTCTGAAAACATCATTTGTGAAATGCTGGAAGGTTAGCGGGGGTGTGCCATAGACCAAATGACACGACCACATAGTCAAAATGGCCATATCTGGTTCAAAATGCCATTCATCCTGTCATCCAGCAGTGCCTGAGGAGCGTGAATACCAACCTAAGGCAGATTGCTAAGAGGCAGGGCACAAACCCCAAACTGTCTGTGAATTCTAGACTTAGATTTTACCAACCAAATATCAAGTGTGAACGTCTCAAGCACTATAACAGCCTTAACATGGGTCCTCTGCTCTACCTTGCCGCTAGGTAAGATTGCCTTTGTGATAGATGGTCCTCTACACAAAAAAAGCACAAGTGTTCTGGTTACTCCCAGTCCCAAAGGACCAGTCTCTTACCGCAGCTCAACAGCACTTTAGATCTCACACCAAAGACAATGCTTGTAGCCAATCCTTGGGGCCTTTCGTTTTCAGTTTTTATTTTATTTAATTTTTCTCAAGGATTTATCAATATTTATTACCACAACAACAAAAACAGGTGAAAATCAGTGCAAAAAAAAACAATTAATTTTTCTGGGTAAATATCAGGGTTTATTTTGATGGACAGAAAGACAGGGGGAAAAAGTATTCTGAGGATTAATGCTTTGAATTCTGTTAATCAATGTGATTTACTGCAGAACTAAAACAGAACTCAAAACCCAAGGCCACCTCTGAGTTTAAGAAAACAATATCTCTCTAATCCCCAAATAAAGCTTTTTATTTGAACAAACAGTTTACTACTGTAGACTTAGTCTTTAAATATTTACATTTAATAATTGGGCTTCACAATTGGCAGCACATACACTCACCTTCATCCTTTTCTCCTGTTTCTTTTTTTAAAACTTTCGAATACTTCCTTGTGTTCTGAAACATATTCTGATAGATTTTTGTTTTCTTTCTATTTTAGTGTGTCAGATCTTTAAACCGTTATCTGCTAACAGCTTGACACATGTACCTGGTGGTGGGTGTGAGATTCACCAGTATGTTCAGATGCACACACACTTCGGAGCTTATGTGTGTGCCTCTTTGCTTGTATCTTCTAGACCAATACATAGCCTTACTTCAACAGACAGCTTTGCATATACACACAGACTAATGTATTATTGTAATACATATAGCTTATGGAATGTATAGTATTTTCGTAATAAAACTAGTTATTTTTTTATATATTTGAATGATACAAAAGCAGAATGAAAATCAGAAAAAACTGAATAATCCTATTTTTAAAACCTGGGAATTTTTCAATAAAAATCGGTTTAAACTGAAAACAAAGGGTCTTACCAATCCTAAAATAAACTATCTAAAGATTTATTAACTAGGCAAAGGAAATAGAGTATTTACAAGGTTAAAGCAGGTAAACATACACACAAATGTGTTCCTGTCTTAAGTTTCAAAAGGTAATAGAAGCTTCTATAATAAGCAAGCTCTATGCCCTTAGGGCTAATCCAGGCCAACCAGTGGGGATCTTTTGCTTATGCTTAGTATTTCCCACTCCTCAGACTCCAAGCAGCAGATACAGTTCCTCCTTGTTAGGGCTTTTTATTCCTTCTCCCCTTCTACCCAGCTGCTGGTCTCTTCTTCAAGGCGGGGGGTGGGGGTGGGGGGCAAAAGGGCGGCAATCAACAAAGTAATTGTCCTCTGATGTTCCACAACAGTTCCTCTGGTGTTGATGGGACTTCTTTTGTTGGGCAAGAGAGAACACCGCCTGTGACAAGCTAGTATTTCACACTTGGTAATGCTTCTTGTCTGTCTGGTGCGTTAAAGTTACAGAGCGAACACTTGTTACCTTGGAACATAGGATACAGATATTATATTGGATCAGCAACACATTTTAATAACTCTAATACCTACTTTAACAATACTAACACATGGATGAGCCAGACTGGTTCCAGCTACATATTTACCAGTGTTCAGTTGAGACCTAAGGGCCTTGGCATGAGCTGGCCCCTGGTCCATCAGAATCACACATTCCCTTGCTGGATTCTGACAAGTTGTATGCCCCATGCCAGTCTTTCTTTGTGAAGATCCGACCCGGAGTCTTTACAGGAGTTCATTTATGAAAGGGGGCATCAGTTGCAGACTGTGATCTTGCTAAAAGTTTAATAATCACTACAAGAGAGGGAGCCATCCTTCCTGGCCATGAAGAAGATAGGTGCTGCCACTCGGGAAGTCAAGGGACAATGAACCTCTTCTGCAGATTTTCCTTAAGGGCCTGCAGCTCAGGTACAGATAAGGTGTAAATGCACCCAAAAGGAACTCGGTGTTCCTGGTTGAAGGTCAATTGTGCAGTCGTCACTGTGCTGAGGAAGTAGAGTGTCTGCCTTCTGTTTGTCAAATACTGTGACATATTCTACGTATTCGGCAGGAATTCCAGGCACTGCCAATGAAACTTTGGTTGGCAATTCTGGATCCTTCAGGGGCTGGAGCATGCCACAGAATGCGACCAGCCATTGACTAGATTGGGAAGGCGAAGCGCAGATGACCCTGAACTGCCAGATCTCTCGGGTGATTGCCAAAATGCTGATGCCCTCTAGATGGGTTGTCTGATGCATGATGGGGCCTGAAGATAGGAATGACCTGTCTATAAGCTCAACAAGCTCGGGGAAGTCCTTGCAGAGGATGGGAATTTGAGGCTCCTTCAAGTTCTGGTCCATAAAATTGCCAGAAGAGCCCAAGCCGACCAAGGCTCCTAGGTGGACATCTGGCATGGCAGAATGCTGAAGCTGAAGAGGCAGATGCAGTGGGGTGGCATGCTGGTTAAAGGATGCCAAGATTCAGGCAGATAGGCAGCAGCACGATTCACTGTGGGGAGCAGTGGAGCACTGACTCAACCCTAGCTCCCCTACTGGGGCTGGGTTCTGGCATTTCCTGACAGGGTGGCCCAGACCTTGGCCAGGCACTCTGATACAATGTGCCCAGGCACCCAGTGTGACGTGTTATTCCATATTATTTATGAAAATATGCTTATGACATGAATATGACATAACTGAGATATACTTTATGCAAGATGGCTCATGTGAGATATCATTGGAAAGGTTATGATTTACTGAATCGATTATCCAATTTGTATGCCTGTACCATTTCTGTATCTGAAGTTTGGAATATTGACTATATATCTGTATTTCAACAAATCTACTTTGGGTGACGCCCACTGCTAACACTTCAGTTACAACAATGGAAAAGCCAGACAGGGCGGATGGCCTATCAGCAAGGACAATGGACTGTGAAAAGCTTGGTCTTCCTGTGGATGCTCCATACTGCCCCGACTCTATGGACGCAGTGATACTACAAAAAGAAAAGGAGGACTTGTGGCACCTTAGAGACTAACAAATTTATTTGCGCATAAGCTTTCATGAGCTACAGCTCACTTCATCGGATGCATTCAGATATTACAGAGTCAGGTGGTCTTGTCACCTGATACTAAAACATTACCTGGGACTTCTGATAACTTTCCACTGTAAGGGAAGGGGGGTCAAGTTTGGGAAACAAAGGATTCCCACCTTATGTAAATGAGTGGGGATGAAGGCAAACAGGACTCTTCCCCTCCATGGCCTGTCTGCCCAAGAAAGACTGCAAAGGGAAGGCAAGGGGGGAATCCAGAATGAGAAAGGGGTCCAGTCTGAAATGGAATATAACTGGAACTATGAACCACAGAAACTTTGCAAACTGCCTGCAACAATATCTAGGGTGAGAAATACTATTTGCAACCAATTCCTTTAGTGAAACTAGCTTAGTTTGTGTGTTTGATTTCATTTGCTTAGTAATCTCCTTTGTTCTATTTGTTACCCCTTTTACCACTTAAAAGCTGCCTTTTACAGTTAATAAAATTTGTTTTATTATTAAACCCAGTTTCTGTAATTTCTAACTGGGGGGTAAGAAGTGTGTACACTTCTCTCCACATGGTGGGGGAGGGCGAATTTCATAATATATCTTTGGGTCTGCACTCCAAGAGAGGTGGACATCTGAGTGCTGAAGCATGTCCCTGAAGCTGAGGGCTTGGCTACACTTGTGAGTTACAGCACAATAAAGGAGCCCCGGGCACACTAGCTCACTCCCCTTCCACACTGGCAAGGCATGTACAGCGCTCTGACTTCGCAGCTACAGTGCTGCTGGTGCTCCACCTCAGCGAGTGGAATAATGTTTGCTGCGCCCCCGCTGGAGCGCCGCGGCGCCAGTATGGAAGAGGTGTTGCATTACTGCACTCTGATCAGCCTTCGGAAACGTCCCATAATCCCCTTAAGTCAAGTGGCCACTCTGGTCATTGTTTTTGAATCACTGCAGGAGTACAGATGTGCCCTTTGAAAGCTCCGTTTCTGACAGCTGGCTGCTTATCTGCTCCGAGAAAAAGCAACCATTAGTGTGGAATGCTGTGTGTGTGTGAGAGAGAGGCAGGGGGGGGGAGGGGTCTGCTGCAGTCTGAACTTACAAGACAGCATGCTGACATGCTCTCAGCCCCCCCAAAACCCCACTCTCTCTCCCCCCACATACACACAACACACTCCCTGTCACACCCTCCCCCATTTGAAAACCACGTTGCAGTCACTTGCAAGCTGGGATAACTGCCCAATGCTGCTGCAAGTGCCGCAAATGTGCTTGAAGCTGTCCGTGTGGACAGACTGCAGCACTTTCCCTACTGCACTCTCCAAAGGCTGGTTTAATTCAAAGCGCTCTATATCTGCAAGTGTAGCCATGCCCTTAGTCTTCCCAGAGCTGATCTGCAGCTGGGTGTGGCCCTGCTTGTGTGTGTGTTAGAGGAGGTTTTAAGAGCCTGGCTCAGCAAGACAGGTTAAAGGGGCCTATGGTAGCAGAACAGGTAGACTCAGTGATATCTCAGAACATGAGGTGGCTTCCCAAGGGGTCCAACCCATCACCCGCCCCAATACAAGCACAACCCCAATGCCTGAGGACAATTCTTTTCATCAGTGGAAAGGTGGGCCAGGATTTGGTTGACTTGCATTGGTTCGGGATCTGGTAGGTCAACTGGGACTGTGGGAGACAGAAGCATTCTGGCCAGCAGGGTTCAGGTGGCGTGTCGCTTTTCTTGAGATTGCTCCATTGGTCAACCATCAGTCTGGATGCAAATATCAATTAAAGCTGCTAGACTAGGCGGAGGTTCCACCCATGCTAATTCATCTTTGATAGAATTGCTGAGCCCCTGCCTAAAGGGGTGTCACAGCCCAGACTCATTCCAATGAGTGTCTGCGGCCGGACAATGGAATTCTGCTGCATATTTGGCAACGGCCCCGACCCCCTGCCAAAGGGTATGGAGAGCAGCTTCTAATGTGCATCCGATGAAGTGAGCTGTAGCTCACGAAAGCTTATGGTCAAATAAATTTGTTAGTCTCTAAGATGCCACAAGTACTCCTGTTCTTTTTGTGAATACAGACTAATGCGGTTGCTACTCTGAAACATTCTCCATTAGGGTTCACAGAGATGCCCACCCTGCCTGTACAAAGCTCTCACAGTGTTCAAGGAGAGGACTGTCCCCTTCCACGAAAGGGGACACCCACGTCAGGGCCTCTCCTCAGAACAGACTGAGAACTAATTCCACTTGGAACTGAGCTGTAGGGTCCGACTGGCCACAACACGAACTGGAGATGACAATGGTTAAGGAACCCATGTCATTTGGCACAATCCCCATAAAACTTACTGGGTAGGGGCAACTCGGGCTCACAGAAAATGGATGCAAGGTTGTGGGGACAGAAGACGCTGCCTGGGCTTGTACCTGGGCCTGGAAGGCTGCATTCTTGTCACGTAGCGTGTCAACTTGAGCCTGCAGTTCCTGCAGGACTCCAACAATGTCTGCAAAGGTGGGGTGAGCTCCTGCTGGGGCCATTCTGGATGGAAGCTCCATGCTGTGCGGCAAAGCCCTGGCTACCTTCTAACAGGCTGGACAAACTGTCGCATGCCAAGGGGTAGGCGGTGAGACCAAGTGGTCAGAGCAGGAGTCTGGCCTAGTGGTTGGAGCAGACTCAGAGAGCAGAACTGGAGTCGTGGCCCGGGGACAAGCCATTAATCAGAACCAGAGGGCAGGAGTCCAGAGGGAAGAGCTGGAGTGGAGCTTGCAAAGAGTGGGGCAAGGGCCAGCAGGAAGCAGGTCTGGCGCAGCTGGGAGCATAGAATGCATTGAGCAGCCACGGTGCTGCTGTTGCTACGCGGTTAACTGGTGACCTGATGGCCCTTCGGTCCAGTCAGGGAGCACAGTCACCTAGGTTCATTGAACCAAATGAGCTCATTAGGTTGCTAGGCCGCTGAGTTCCTGACACCCTTGCCCCCAGCACAGCACCCCTCCCCTGCATCAAAGCCCCTCTTCCTCCCCTCCTCTGCCCCACTCTGGGAGAGGAGGTCTGTGTCCCCCTGCAGATCCCACTCTGCCCTCCTTCTCCCAGACCCCCAGAGGCAGAGTGGTGGAGGCACTGGGCAAGGCGCTGCTGGCACCGCCCGCCCGATGCCCTTTTGACATTGCACTGCTTGGCAGGGGCTCAGACAGTAGCACAATGTGAAAAGAGCCCAGGATGGCGGCGTGGTGGCGGTGGGGATCTGCCGTACCCCTCATCCCCTCTCACCTCCTCCTCAGCAGCTAGGAAATTGCCCCTTCTCACCCACCCCCACAGGGCTGGGGGGCCCAGGGCTGAGGGGGCCTGGGCTAGGTAGGGCCCCTCACAGGAGCAGGATGAAGTATTGAGGTGCCCCAGGCCATGGAGGGGTCACAGCTGCAGGAAGGAGCAAGTCTCCATTTTCACAGCTCTTCGTACATTCTTTTGCTGGGGCTTTTCGGGAGTAACGCCTCAGGAACCAGAGCTGGAAAAGAGAAGGGAGCCTGGGTCATTGGTCCCAGCATCAGAACCCCGCACCCTGGCCAGCCCCTTTGTGTGCCCCAGAGTCGGAATCTCGAACACTTCCCATGTGCCCCAGAGCCAGAACACCCCCCATGTACCCCAGAGCCGTAACCCTCCACCCCCACCGGCACCTCTGCGTGCCCCAGCGCTGGAACCCTCTAACTCCACCGGAACCTCTATGTACCCTAGAGCTGTAACCCGGCTCAACGGGTAGTGATCAATGGCTCCATGCCTAGTTTGCAGCCGGTATCAAGCAGAATGCCCCAAGGGTCGGTCCTGGGACCAGTTTTGTTCAATATCTTCATTAATATCTGGAGGATGGCATGGATTGCACCCTCAGCAAGTTTGCAGATGACACTAAACTGGGAGAGGTGGTAGATACGCTAGAGGGTAGGGATAGGATACAGAGGGACCTAGACAGATTAGAGGATTGGGCCAAAAGAAATCTGATGAGGTTCAACAAGGACAAGTGCAGAGTCCTGCACTTAGGACGGAAGAATCCCATGCACCGCTACAGATGAGGGACCGAATGGCTCGGCAGCAGTTCTGCGGAGGAGGACCTAGTGGTTACAGTGGACGAGAAGCTGGATATGAGTCAACAGTGTGACCTTGTTGCCAAGAAGGCCAATGGCATTTTGGGATGTATAAGCAGGGGCATTGCCAGCAGATCGAGGGATGTGATCATTCCCCTCTATTCAACATTGGTGAGGCCTCATCTGGAGTACTGTGTCCAGTTTTGGGTCCCACACTACAAGAAGGATGTGGAAAAATTGGAAAGAGTCCAGCGGAGGGCAACAAAAATGATTAGGGGTCTGGAATACATGACTTATGAGGAGAGGCTGAGGGAACTGGGATTGTTTAGTCTGCGGAGGAGAAGAATGAGGGGGGATTTGATAGCTGCTTTCAACTACCTGAAAGGGGGTTCCAGAGAGGATGGATCTAGACTGTTCTCAGTGGTAGCAGATGACAGAATAAGGAGTGTTGGTCTCAAGTTGCAGTGGGGGAGGTTTAGGTTGGATATTAGGAAAAACTTTTTCACTAGGAGGGTGGTGAAGCACTGGAATGTGTTACCTAGGGAGGTGGTGGAATCTCCTTCCTCAGATATTTTTAAGGTCAGGCTTGAAAAAGCCCTGGCTGGGATGATTTAGTTGATGTTGGTCCTGCTTTGAGCAGGGGGTTGGACTAAATGACCTCCTGAGGTCCCTTCCAACCCTAATATTCTATCATTCTACTCCCACCGGCCCCTCTGTGTGCTCAAGTGCCAGAATCCTATACCCCCACCGGCCCCTCTGTGTGTCCCAGAGCCAGAACCTCCTATCCTCCTGCTGGCCCTTCTGTGCATCCAAGAGCCAGCCACCCCAGGTACCCCAAAACCAGAAATCCTCCTCTGCTCCTGTGTGCTCCACAGCTAGGAACCCCTTCTCCATCTCTGTGTGCCCCAGAGCCAGAAATCCTCCCCCAACATACACCCACACCCCTGTGTTCCCCAGTCTGTGGGGAAGAGGTGCTCAGTCCCAGGGCCTGTTCAGTCCTAGACCACTCTGCTGAGATCTGAATCCCACTCCCTATTCCCCAGAGTCAGCCAGTCCCCGAGCCTTGAGGCTGGATCACAGCCAGCGCCACCTAGAGGGGAAAGGATCCATAGCCCATTCCCCACCCATGAGCAGCCATTCACTCCCTGGGGCTGGATTGGAAGCGCTGCCCCTAGAAAGGAAAGGCCCCGTGTCCCATTCCTCCTCCCCAAATAATCTAATCCTCGAAATTGATGCTATTCGGTGGTGACCACGAATAGAAACATTTGTTACCAATCTAAATACACTGAGCGGCATCTCCTCTTCAAGGAGGTCGCTGCTCCGAGAGGGAAAATAGCACAAATCCATCCCAGCCCTCAACAAGACTGGAAACAAAGAATATCTGCACAGCAGCATCATAATTACAGCAAATCTAGGGGAGGGATAGCTCAGTGGTTTGAGCATTGGCCTGCTAAACCCAGGGTTGTGAGTTCAATCCTTGAGGGGGCCATTTAGGGATGTGGGGCAAAAATTGGGGATTGGTCCTGCTTTGAGCAGGGGGTTGGACTAGATGACCTCCTGAGGTCCCTTCCAACCCTGATATTCTATGGGTATGTCTACACTACGGAATAAGGTTGAATTTATAGAAGTCGGTTTTTTAGAAATCGGTTTTATATATTCGAGTGTGTGTGTCCCCACAGAAAATGCTCTAAGTGCATTAAGTGCATTAACTCGGCGGAGCGCTTCCACAGTACCGAGGCTAGAGTCGACTTCCGGAGCGTTGCACTGTGGGTAGCTATCCCACAGTTCCCGCAGTCTCCGCTGCCCATTGGAATTCTGGGTTGAGATCCCAATGCCTGATGGGGCTAAAACATTGTCGCGGGTGGTTCTGGGTACATATCGTCAGGCCCCCCGTTCCCTCCCTCCCTCCGTGAAAGCAAGGGCAGACAATCGTTTCGCGCCTTTTTTCCTGAGTTACCTGTGCAGACGCCATACCACGGCAAGCATGGAGCCCGCTCAGGTAACCGTCACCCTATGTCTCCTGGGTGCTGGCAGACGCGGTACGGCATTGCTACACAGTAGCAGCAACCCCTTGCCTTGTGGCAGCAGACGGTACAGTACGACTGGTAGCCGTCATCGTCATGTCCGAGGTGCTCCTGGCCACGTCGGCTGGGAGCGCCTGGGCAGACATGGGCGCAGGGACTAAATTTGGAGTGACTTGACCAGGTCATTCTCTTTAGTCCTGCAGTCAGTCCTATTGAACCGTCTTATGGTGAGCGGGCAGGCGATACAGACTGCTAGCAGTCGTACTGTACCATCTTCTGCCGAGCAGCCATGAGATGTGGATGGCATGCAGTCCTTCTGCACCGTCTGCTGCCAGCCAAAGATGTAAAAGATAGATGGAGTGGATCAAAACAAGAAATAGACCAGATTTGTTTTGTACTCATTTGCTTCCCCCCATCCCCTGTCATTCTTCTAGGTCACACTGCAGTCACTCACAGAGAAGGTGCAGCGAGGTAAATCTAGCCATGTATCAATCAGAGGCCAGGCTAACCTTCTTGTTCCAATAAGAACGATAACTTAGGTGCACCATTTCTTATTGGAACCCTCCATGAAGTCCTGCCTGAAATACTCCTAGATGTAAAGCCACCCCCTTTGTTGATTTTAGCTCCCTGAAGCCAACCCTGTAAGCCGTGTCCTCAGTCGCCCCTCCCGGAGTCAGAGCAACGGCAAACAATCGGGCATCTGAGAGTGCTGTCCAGAGCAGTCACAATGGAGCACTCTGATGGGGCTAAAACATTGTCGCGGGTGGTTCTGGGTACGTATCGTCAGGCCCCCGTTCCCTCCCTCCCTCCGTGAAAGCAAGGGCAGACAATCGTTTCGCGCCTTTTTTCCTGAGTTACCTGTGCAGACGCCATACCACGGCAAGCATGGAGCCCGCACAGGTAACTGTCACCCTATGTCTCCTGGGTGCTGGCAGACGCGGTACGGCTTTGCTGCACAGTAGCAGCAACCCATTGCCTTCTGGCAGCAGACAGTGCAATACGATTGGTAGTCGTCCTCGTCGTGTCCGAGGTGCTCCTGGCCACGTCGGCTGGGAGCGCCTGGGCAGACATGGGCGCAGGGACTAAATTTGGAGTGACTTGATCAGGTCATTCTCTTTAGTCCTACAGTCAGTCCTATTGAACCATCTTATGGTGAGCGGGCAGGCGATACGGACTGCTAGCAGTCGTACTGTACCATCTTCTGCCAGGCAGGCAAGAGATGAGGATTGCTAGTAGTCGTATTGTACCATCTTCTGCCAGGCAGGCAAGAGATGAGGATGGCTAGCAGTCGTACTGTACCATCTTCTGCCGAGCAGCCATGAGATGTGGATGGCATGCAGTCCTTCTGCACCGTCTGCTGCCGGCCAAAGATGTAAAAGATAGATGGAGTGGATCAAAACAAGAAATAGACCAGATTTGTTTTGTACTCATTTGCCTCCTCCCCTGTCTAGGGGACTCATTCCTCTAGGTCACACTGCAGTCACTCACAGAGAAGGTGCAGCGAGGTAAATCTAGCCATGTATCAATCAGAGGCCAGGCCAACCTCCTTGTTCCAATAAGAACGATAACTTAGGTGCACCATTTCTTATTGGAACCCTCCGTGAAGTCCTGCCTGAAATACTCCTTGATGTACAGGCACCCCCTTTGTTGATTTTAGCTCCCTGAAGCCAACCCTGTAAGCCGTGTCGTCAGTCGCCCCTCCCTCCATCAGAGCAACGGCAGACAATCATTCCGCGCCTTTTTTCTGTGCGGACGCCATACCAAGGCAAGCATGGAGGCCGCTCAGCTCACTTTGGCAATTAGGAGCACATTAAACACCACACGCGTTATCCAGCAGTATATGCAGCACCAGAACCTGGCAAAGCGATACTGGGCGAGGAGGCGACGTCAGCGCGGTCACGTGAGTGATCAGGACATGGACACAGATTTCTCTGAAAGCATGGGCCCTGCCAATGCATGCATCATGGTGCTAATGGGGCAGGTTCATGCTGTGGAACGCCGATTCTGGGCTCGGGAAACAAGCACAGACTGGTGGGACCGCATAGTGTTGCAGGTCTGGGACGATTCCCAGTGGCTGCGAAACTTTCGCATGCGTAAGGGCACTTTCATGGAACTTTGTGACTTGCTTTCCCCTGCCCTGAGGCGCATGAATACCAAGATGAGAGCAGCCCTCACAGTTGAGAAGCGAGTGGCGATAGCCCTGTGGAAGCTTGCAATGCCAGACAGCTACCGGTCAGTTGGGAATCAATTTGGAGTGGGCAAATCTACTGTGGGGGCTGCTGTGATACAAGAGCCCACGCAATCAAAGATCTGCTGATATCAAGGGTAGTGACCCTGGGAAATGTGCAGGTCATAGTGGATGGCTTTGCTGCAATGGGATTCCCTAACTGTGGTGGGGATATAGA